TGGTGCTCAAGCTTGAATGCAATTGAAGTGTTTACAATTAAACCTGAAAAATTTACATTTTCAAATTATAATGTCATTACCAAAGGCAAATTAAGAGTGGTCTTTCCATTAAAGTAAATTGTAAGAATGATTTTCATCAGCTGAATTATCAAACATATACAGTGAACTAATGATGAAGAGCAAAGGGACTATAAATGAGCGTAGTAGCAGAGTTTCCCTGACCCTGGTCCACTCGTCTTCATGCTAAGCTAAGCTAAACTGTCAAGGAGCTGCCACTGTACTGAGTTTATAGTGATTGATTCAACATCGATCTTCTCTTGTAGCTCTCAGTAAGACAGACCGTCTAAAATTGTCCCTATAGGAAACTCTCTAGCAAGCTTTTTTTTGTGTGCGGACAAAGTGTGGTTACTAGACCACACAAGCTTGTGCAGTTTTTGAGAGTCCCAGCCTACCTGTCACTGTCAGGCTTTATCTCAGTATTCCTGTCAGGAGACATGTGGCCATGCCATAATCTCCTCAGCAAGATGTGTCAGGATCTTTATCTCAGTGCCGCGATTCAAAAGGCTCCTGCTTTTCCTCCTCTTCCCTTTTTTTTGTTCACCCGTCATGTGGAGAGTGACAATACCACCGGTGACGTTGGAGTATTCACCTCTATTGTCAAACAAATGCTGCTTTTATGTGGATGGATGTGATGGATAGTCGTCTGGGGCTTTGTTGTGACACAGCAAAATAAATAAATAAATAAATAAGAGAGTGATGGCATTCAAGGTGAAAGCTTATCCTGAGTCTGCCACCCATGTCAGGTCTGTGATGCTCAGCTGCTAAGCAGCAAAAATGTATTTTTGTTTTGGAGATAAAAAGCCAGTAAGACACCAGCCAGTGGGAGCAATTTGAAGCTACTGTTTACAAAGTATCTGTATGGATGGAGGACCAGGATTAGGGTAAACAAAAAAGAATGACAATGTGGTTGTTCAAGCATTTAAACATTCAAGGTGATTACAAATAGTAGAACAATGTTGCTGACCCATCATACCATCACTTGTAGAAGTTACCATGCAAAAGTTTATTCACACAGCTCATTTCATTCCAAGTGAGGTTATGTGCTGCACAAAGCATGAGCAACAGAGGTTGCAGCCACAAAAACTATGCGGTGAAAGATAAATCATTCGACATACGTAACCACAATCAAAGCAAACCATTTAGAAAAGGAAAAATAATTAAGACCGGCAATCGACCAGTAAAATTTAATAAGACATGCAAATTAAAACCAATAAAAGGAAGAATAACATAACTTTTAAAAATGATAATTAATGAAGCCCAATAGTTGGCCATTAAACATAATCACACATGTTAATTGAAACAAGTAAAAGGAGAAGAAATAAAATAAACAATAGCTAAGATCAGTAAACCAGACGACTGAAAGGTGCAGCTAAAAAGAAATGTTTTAATTCAGATTTAAAACATGAGGCACAAATGAGGAGCTACACCTACTATGACTGGGTTGTGCTTTCCAGTTGCTTGAAGCATCAAAGCTAAAGGCAGTTTTCACAGTTTTTGTGGAAAATCTGAGCCGTCCAGCTGGTTCATAGCTCACTAGAATGTCAGAGACATATTGGGGTGCCAGGTCATATAGGGCTGTAAAAATAAGCACAAGAATTCGAGAATTTTAATTCAAAGCTAAATAACACTGTATGAGCAAGGGATAAAGAGGCGGCTGTGCCTGAGGGAGTATACTAGTTGTCATCCAACCAGAAGGTCGGCGGCTCGAATCCCAGCTCATGGGCAAGATGCTGAACCCCCCCTCATTGATGCTGAATGCACTAATTGTAACTGTCACAACTAAAGTCGCTTTGGATAAAAGAGTCAGGGTAACAAACCTTTCTACAGGTCTGTACATTAAGCTGTTGACTAATGGTGTAAAGGTCGATCAATTGATCAGTATGGATCAACCCCCATGGTGTGGAATGCATTTTAACTGCAGATGGATTGCTAAGTTTGCATATTAGAAATCATAAAATTATGAAATACACTCTTACTGTCGCAGTCACTTTGTAATGTAATATTTGCATAATTTACAATCCAGAGTTCAGTTAAATCAAAGCAGTTTGTTAACGTAGGTTGTGAGTTCTTGTGAACTGTGCATGTTAATAGCAGTTAGAGAAGAAGAACTGAAGAAGTGTCATTTAAGTCACAAGTAAGCATTTTCCTTACTTTACTGTGAGGTTATCGTCGGTTACATAAGTGCTCTTTAAAGGGTTCTGTATCTAGTAGGATGTTCCCTTTACAGTTTTCTTAAACAAAAAAATTAAATCTTTCTTCACATTAAATTACGTTTGACTTTATTCTCATTAAATTAGGATTATCTTGGCCCTACTATTCCCTGTATATCACGTAATATACTAAATTAATCAATAGAAAATAATCAATATGTGCTACAACTTTCGGTTCTTTTCACTCAAAGCTTTTCCATTTGCCCCTGAGTCACATTCGAGGCTTGTTGTTTTATTTTTTTTCATTTCATACTGTGCAGATGGTACACTACATTTCACGATGCATTGTCGAATATAATAAGTCCACTGTGTAGGGTATAAAATTCTCTCTAAACATTCGGACAGCACAACAAAATGGCAAACTCAGTGGAGTATACAGTGTTGTTTGTACTCATGTTAAGGTAATGCATGCGTAGCGATGTGTTGCTACTGTCCCGCTCCTTACACAGTCAGCTCATTACAGCAGAAGCCTATTTTTATCCCGGTGTGATTGAACTAGGGCCCTTAGGGGGCGGCAATCACAGAGAAAGTCTTGAACGGAGGAGGAGGTCGGGTCCGTCCCAGTCTGAAAAGGGAATCGGGGCGCACAGCCTCTGTTTGACAGTGTCGCTGAGACAATCACTGTTCCTCAAGAGGGTCATGGTGAGGCCAGCACACAGCCAGCCGCAGCATCGCACAGCTGCATAAAGCACAGCCACCGACTGCTCAAAAGACAAAGGCAGTTTTTTTAAATGGCTCCTCTTGCTATTAGAAATCCACACAAGTATGTCAGAATATATCAACATACTATAGTGCCTATTTGTTTATTTTTGAAACGATATCACCACTGAAATGTTATGTCTCCTTCATGTAGATTTTCAAGTATAGAGTTCATTTGTATTATCAGGCTTTAGACAATAACAAACAGAAAGAAAATGATTAGGAAGAAAACAGTATGTGGAGAAAACATTCGGCAGACTCAAATGGAAATGGCCTCCAACCAGTGTCTGTGCTCAAGGAATCTCAGTGATTTGAGTGAATCAATTTAAATGAGATTCATACTGGCGCGCTGTTGCATTCAGTCTGCTGCCAGCGCAGCATGAGTCTGTCTCTCAGGCTGTGCCTCCTCCATCCATCCATCCATCCATCCATCCATCCATCCATCCATCCATCCATCCCCTTCATCCATTGGTCCCACTGTCTCCCTTCCAGGGCAGACAAATAGTGGAGCTTATCGGATTCAGAGAGGATATCAGGATCTAAATTCACAGCCTTTGCATCAAGCATGTCTTATTTAGTGTTCCATCATGAGGACAGTCTTCCTCTTTTGAACACCAGAATGCACCCTGCCTTGTTGCATTCGCTTTACTGCAGAGGGTCCCGTGCGGGCAGTTACTCTTTAACCGGGTTCATCCACTCCTGCCCTCCACGGCTTTATTAGATGGTCTTCCCCTTGCTGTCTCTATAACTTTTTGGAATAAAAGAACAGGGGAAGTTCATATAATAAAGCTGTAGAGGGCGGGAGTGAACCCAGTTACAAGGCAGGGATCATATCATTCATTTCATTGGTTAACCAGTGGTCAACATGACACCTGGCGTTCTGTTGGTTGAGGGATTTTGAAAAGTTTGTAAGACAAAAAAATCAAGCGGTGGAAAGCAGCCCGAGTGCGGGGAAGGGCTGAAGCTGGAGCGCAGGAATTCCACGCGAGCAGCAATATATCTGAGTGCAGGCACACAGTTTGAGCAGAAGCAGAGCAAATTAAAGTGCAAACAGGGGGTATTTTAGTGCAAGGGAAGGGTTTTGATGAAAAGTAATACACAATCTGAACATAAATTCAACAAGTCATGTGCTCGAACTGAAAGACCATGCTCTTGAATAAAGATAGGAAAAAAGCTCCATAAATATCAACCTCATAGTAATGCTGGAAGAGAGGTCAGCAGATCACTAAGCTCAGTCAAGAAAGAGAACATACATATAATATAAGATGTGGAAATATACCAATGATGTGAAATAAAGCAAATATAAGTGAAAGTTTAGCATTCAGGTGCTTGGTCTTCAATAATAATAATCCCCTCTAATGTTTTCATCTCTCTTTCCTCAGTGTGCTGTGCTTCTGCCATTAGGTCGTAATAGGCTAGATGTCTAGCCAGCAAGCTACGCATCGTTCCACTTTGGATCTGTTCCCCACACGATGGGCTAAAGAGTGAAAACAATCAGGGAATCAGCAAAATTTGTTCTGCAAAGGCACTGCCAGTGGCTCCATCAGCAATACACGGGGAGATGATGTATGCCGTATAGGAAGAAAAGCGGGACCTTGAATGCTCCCTTGGCTTTTATATCCCCCATCCTTTGCCCACTTGGCTGCCTGTCCCGTGCCTCCAGAAAATACGGCTGTGTAGCTCTGAGTAGAGTCAACCTCCCATTTCTGTTGCTATGGACCATGGTCAGAAAAATCCCACCTCCCCCACTATCCGCTCCTCTCATACTTAACTAACTGGAATGGCTGGTGGGGGGGTACAAATGTGCAGCTTATTAATTGCTCTGACGACCCATCCAGATCCATTGATTTAAACGAATGATGGGATGGTGGGACTCAACATGCTGATCATGACCTCTGACACAAATCACACTCAAGTCTCCCATACAGATATTCCTTTGAAACATTGTTTTCTCTTGCCCCCTCTACGTAGCACACAGTCAAAGCAGCTGGATCTAAATACACAGTATGTCCCTGCCTTGTTCTTTTTCAGACGTTGGAAGCAGTGCTGAATTTGAAGTACTCTGGCGGAGCGGGCAAAGTGGAGGGCTACTACAGGGAACTGTCTCTGGGAGTCCATGTTAATGTGGAGCCTTCAGTGTTCTTCACCAGAGTCAGCACCCTCCCCGCTACCAGGTAACACACACACACACACTAATGCATTCACCATGACAGGTGTAAGTACTGGTGGTTTCTTCCTCTGCGCAGATCACATGTTGTTTACAGCACTCAGACATCAGCATCGTCCTTTATCACTAAAAGCTCTCATGACATCTTTGTGTGTGGCACAGCTTTTTCTTCCTCGGGTGTTTTCATTTTTGCGCCTGTCGCATGTAAGAAAAGCCATCAACACGCCCACTCGCTTGTGGTAATTCCTTCTGAGGACCTCTTGCTGGGTTCTCATGTGAGATTTTACTGCGGGGTTTTGTAGGAAACTCCATAGAAAGTCAAGAGCCTCTTAATCAGGTGTTTCCATTCTCACATACATCCCCTTCAGAGAATGTCAGTACATTATCTGGATTTCAGGGCATGTGTGATAGGAGCAGACGATTACATGCAGCTCCCTCCAGGGACATCACCTCGAAGAATGTTCTTTCTTTCAGCTGATCTGATTCTAGTTTGTTGCTACGTTTTTGAGCTGACATGCATCCAATATTCTTGTTGTGTTTGCACCAGGTCCCTTTGACAGCGCAATTCAAAAGCCACATTTCTGGATCACAAAGAACAGTATCACCAATCATCTTACCAAGGCATAAGTCGTACTTTTACTCTGACGAGCCCTTAACTCTACATGCCACACAATGTATTTGGTCTTTGTCACATAAAATAGAAATACTACTCAACCTTCACTCAAATACCACAGTAGCTAAATAAAATCTACCTCACAGCAGTTCTTGTCACAGTAATTGATGATAAATCTCAATGCTAAAGCTTCATTTTATCTGACATATGACAGGACTGCCGTTTACTTTCTCTCTTGATGTGGTGAATAGTTATCGACTTTCCCTTTGCAGCAGCACTCTCGCTCTGGCATTATTGATATCAAAACCAGACTTAGAAACGGTATCATCACTGACAGGTCAGAAAGTGGAAGATGTGAATGGAAATTAAATCCATATTCACTCCTCTTATGCAGTGCGTGACCGTAGACATGCTCGAACTTCCTCGCACTCACACTACCCGTGTCTCACTTCACCAACACCACCTTTCATCTGCCTCAACCCTGCTGGAAAAATACCCAAGCGAATGGAGGACAGGTCGCAGTCGAGTAATGGCCACTTGAGGTGAATCATTAGCTGTAATAATATCTGCAGTTGAAGCCATCCATCTCGTCTCAGCGCTGATAGATATGCTGCGGTGGATGCTATACCATCACCCTGTCATTGCAGCCCCCTTCTTCCTCACCTCTACCACACCCATTGCACTCTCTGCCTCATCTCACTGACACAGTATCTACAGGCTCTCAAGCAAAGCTCCAAACATTTGCAAATGTGTTGAAAGTGGAAGCTTCAGAAAGGTTTATTTGTATAATGCAGTATCACATTTAGTGGCTCAGTGGTTCTTGACTCTTCCTGATCTGAAAACTAACCTAACGCATGAGTGAAATGGAAGACACTTCATCATGGTGTCCATTCTGTGGACCTTCAACGTTCTCATAGGAGCTGCAGGTGGGATTTAAACGGAAGGTATTGTCTTCCAGAGGGTGTTGCTGTATGGATTTTAAGTCCTTTCACAGGAGTTTTGAGGCAACATGAATAAAGTTCTGCTATTAGTTTTACACAGTATTAATATTTCAAGTATAACAGATTTCATAGTTGAAATACCATCTGAATGCTTTAATATTTTTTTTCCTATTTTCATTTGAGAGTGTGCTCTTTCAGCTTGAAAGCAAGTCTTGATTTCACCAACAGATTTTGTAATACTGAAATTACTGAGAGTATAAAACTACTCGCTGGGCCATGATGGTGTGTGTGAGCACTTGTGTGTTTGTTTTTGTTGCCTCTTTAGGACCTTATCCAGCTTTAACACTTATCTTGTCAGGACAAGTACATAAGACTAAAGTCTGATCCTAGTAAGGCAAGATGTTGTTTTTGAGGTTCTGGTTAAGGATAGTTGTTAGGTTAAGGTTAGGGTTAGGTATGACTTGGTCAAGGTAAGGGTGAGGGATGTTTTGGTTAGACTATCCACAATAAATGGAAGTAAATGTTAAAGGATCAGAGTGTAGAATTTAGTGATATCTTGTAGTGTAGTGTCATGTTGCTGCTGAACACCCCTCACCTCACCCTCTCCTTCCAAACATGAAAAATAACCTGTGGAAACCTTCAGCTGTCATAAAAACTCAAAAGTTGTTTAGTTTGTTTAAAAAACATGGCAGCTTCCTTAGAGAGGACCCCCTTAAGGTAAATATAAAGTTTTTAAATATAAAAGGTATTTTCTGGGGTAAAGAAAACTACAACTCATACAATTTAGATATAACAAGCTAGTGAAAGCGTCGTGAGAATTATTCTACATTAAAGTTCCCTTTCACCTAAATCTTACACACTGGACCTTTAAGTCTTTGTGTGTGTTTGTGCATGTGTCTAAGACTTTTGTGTTTTTAAATTTTCCCTTCATATGAGATCTCGACATGACTCACTCACACATTTGGCACTTTTAATAGTTTAATAACAGCCATTCACAAATGTAATGTTGACACTCTCGAGCTTTGCAGACACACATTCACACAGCATTGGCTCAAATATCTTCGATATTTTTCCCTCTAGAGGCGTCGACATTAACGTCCTCTAACACACTTTACTTGTTGAGATAACTGCTATTGACTTTGTCGGCTGTGAGTTAAAAGAGACTTTGCAAGTGGATTTATGAAATTGCTCAATAATACAGCAACTTATCCATTCGATCTGTTTCTGTCTCTCTCTCACTCATCTCCCCGTGCTTGTCAATGCATCCATTTTTCCTTCTTCCTCTCCATCTAAAAAAAAAAACCTTCTTACATTTACTTTTCTGAAGTGTTTTTTTCCACAATAGTTTGTGATTTCGCTGTGCTGTTCCTTTTCCTTATCTCTTTGTCTCCAATCAGGTTCCACTTTCTCTTTATCCTCTACTTTCTCTCTGTCTTTTTCATCCTGATGCCTTTTTCTCTGCTGCTGCTTTTTTCTTTTCATGAGATTTTTCAACTCTCTTTTTTGTCCCTCCATTCTCATGTGTCTCTTTGTGCTGCATCATTTCTGCCTTTATAGACAGTATTGCAGTATTTCGTTATGAAACTGTAAAGAAAAAGTAATTACAAGAAAATAATTGTTAATGGAAAAGAATCATTCTCCTGTTTGCTACTCAAATATGTTAGATTTAAAGATGAAATGATTAGTTGATTGAATTAATTTGTCCATCTAAAGATGTATAATGAGAATTTTTTTTATAATTGAATAGTGAATATTTCTCACTGCTGCTTTGTAATGACAGCCATGGATGTGCAGAGTAATTGATTATGAAAAAAAAAACATTAGTTGTCACTGTATAGTCAAATTTAAGCGTCATAATTAAACTGTTGAGATGAAGTCAAATTTAAAGGGTTTTTTTACAAAAAAGAAAAAAGTGAATAAGATAACCACAAAATTTTACCAGAATACAGCTACAAGTTGTAAACACTAATGAGGAGAGGTCAGAATTCAAGCCATTTGATGTCACATGTTACGGGTTATGCAACGAAAAAGATCTACACTCAACTTATCTTTACCTTTTTGCTGACATTTGCACATCTCCAATTTAGATGAACTAAGAATGTCTGTTAAAGGTACGGAGACATATTCAGGAATCAGGGGAAAAATTAGGAAGCAGCCCCCCCCCAACCCTTTTTTTACTTTCACACTGGCTCCTCTCTTTCCCGTTAAAAGCACTGCTCTCCCACCCGTAACACACTTCTGCTCTGGTAATGGGGTGGAGACGTACAGAGGAGCTTCTCCCAAGAGGGAGCTTATATTCTCGTAAGGAGGTGAAGAGTCACAGTTGCAGATGCACAGCATACAATCTCTTTTTAAATCTGCCTTTTACAGGTGGCACAAGCTGATCATTCTCATCATGAGCCTGTTCATGATGCACACTGTTGGTTTTATTATAAGAGCGCAGTAAAATTTCCCCATCACACTTATGCAAGCAGCAAGTATTCTACTGTACCATTATGTGCTTTAGCAGAAAATATAAGCAGTAAGTATAATATTCTGTGTCCACTGGCAGGGGGATGGTTATTGAATTTATAATCAAGGTAGCCTGTGGATCTGATGTGTATAATCCGGCTTTGACAGCGTCCATCATGGAACACGTATAGCTGCCACCTACAGATGGCCCTATGGGCTGTCGATCACCTTCATGACGGCTGTTGTGGAGGACAGGTTCAGGTAGAAGCCGATGATTATTTTTGAAAGCTTGTGCCTTCAGCACTTAAAGGACAGAGTAGAACTTGTGTGTGTGTGGTTCTGGTGCACTGTTGACCTGCTCACAGCTGGAAGTTGGCATCATGTTGTTCAGCTTTGATACCAGAATCGACACTTGCCTCCTTGTGCTTCTCCTATGACTGTGATCCACGGCAGGTCGGTGAAGTATCCAACAGGGGCAGGCAAAGATAATGTCACTGCACCTCAGGAAACTGAAGTTTCAGAATGACGAATCTTCTTCGCTCTGTAGCACCGTGATGATTCTTTCTGTCTCTGTCTCGCTCTTCCAAGTTGTTGCCCTCCTTACCCCACTGTCACTCTGCCTTTTAAAACTCTCTTTCAAAAAACATGAGAAGAAAGTGACACGGTGAAATAAGGGCTGCTTTGCGTGGTGAGCTGATAGTTAACGTGGGCTGGCCAACATCAAACCAAACCGAACCCACCTCCTCCAAAGAAACATATTGTACCAACCCACATCATTCTTAAAACAACCATTTTATTTTCAAATTTGCAAAGAAATTGTATCTACTGCACTAATAATGCAGTACACACACACACACACTGAGAAATTCTAGCCTTCAACCAAACTGCCAAATCTTTCCTAGTTGACTCTGGTCATCGTTTTCCCCTTGTTTGGCACTAGATTTGTTTTCTCTTTGTCTTTTTCAGTTTAGCGTCCTTTTGCATGTTACAAATGTCATCAAC